TCTCTCTCTCTCTCTCTCTCTCTCTCTCTCTCTCTCTCTCTCTCTCTTTCTTCAAAACATGTATTCATGATCGTTTATGGTTAGTTGGTTTGAAATTGTACAAGTTTTTTGTTTGATCTCTCATGGCAATAAAAGAATTCAAAAACAAAAAAAGAAACCCATTTTGTGCAAATCCAAAATAAGCCATTGAATTTCATTCGTCCTATTCATTCTTACATATTTACCGAATTAGATAATAATAATTCAGTGAGCAATCAATAAATTTTTTAAATTGTATTTAAAGTCACACGTGTGGTTCATATATTTTTTTCGCTGCTTTTACAGGTCGATTGATTATTACATAACAATAAGTCAGACACTTGCATTCGAATATTTAACATCGATGTGAATAACAAATATCGTATCTTGATTTTGATTGAAAGACGTTAGATCACTGGCACATGCAAATTGCGGCTTTCAAATCGGTTTAATTCGATTTCAACAGAAATGGTTAACGTCGTGTCAAAATGGTATTTTCATCGATTTGCTTGTTGTTAATGGATGCAATTAATGCTTGCAATATGATTTGTCTTGTTTAGACGTAGTCATCGAAATGCCAAAAACATCATTATTTACATTGTTGATTTGGTAAAACCACCGACCTTCGAGAATGCTTTGATCATGATGTTAATTCAGTTATAGAAGTTAACAACGACCCATAATGATCATAAAAATGCGTAATAAACAACAAACTATTTCCAGCAGAAACCCGAAGAATATGGTTATAAAAAAACCACATTTTTATGTGAATATGTATGTATAAATAAGTGTTTTGATCCAATACGGTGTACTTAATTTATGTAACATGTGGAGCGCAAAGTCCATTTGATTTGCTTGAAGCATCTTTAATGTTTTGACCGACGATAACCTTTGCCATTTCTATCATTTACGGAATGGCATCGATTCGAATGACTTGCTTTGTTTTTAATAACCATTTCTGGTCGAATAAAATTGATCTAGAAGCACTGATTTTCTTGCGAGAATTTGTTTAATTCGGGCGCCCCGCCAGTGTATCTTATTTTAAAAAATCTATGCACGATCACGATTCGTAATAAACTTTATTTTTTTTCTCTCTCTTTTCTCGCATTTTGAAACAACTGGTGCACTACAATGAAATAAAGTTTTTATTTCCGTATCGTTTCGGTTTCAATGCGGCTGCATGTCGATTTTAATTTCTATGAGACATCATTCGAATCGTTGACCATGACGAAAGTTGTATCACACATATATATTTATAATAATCAGTTCGATGTAATCGAAAATACATGTTTTTTTTTGTTGTTTAAATAATACGCATCGTGCGTGTGTATAGCGTTTGTCGACTTTTACTGCATCAAAATTAAAAGCGAAACAAAATTAACTAATTGATGGAATTGAATACATTGCCGACGAAAACAACAAAAGTCATGAATTGTGTTTTGGTCACAAATGATCAGTTTCGATTCAAAACAACCTTTTGGAAAACATTTTGATCAATCGATTTAATTTCCCATTGACAAACGTTTTCACATTTCGATTTCTTTACTCTCATTTTAATTAAATTGTGTTTGACACATCGACTGACCGGCCGTCCGGTCGATGAACACTAAATTGAGGTTGATGAGTTTTTCTTTTATCTTTTGGACGGGAGAGAAAAAAACTGAATGGAAAAAAAGGCCGAGAATACTACGAAGCAATTAAAAACGAAATACACTGGATGCACCCAAAATGAGAAAACAATAAGAGAAAGACAATAAAAATCGTGCCTCTGTAAAGGTTAGCGACAAAGAATAAAATCCCATATATTCTAACTGTTCCATAAAATATTTTTTAGTTCGAAATAAAATTATCTCATTTAAAAGATCTTCCAATAAATTGTCGATTTTCATTTTCGACATTAATTTGTTTTTATGTTTTACGATTTTTCGTGTTCCATCTTCAACCATGTTTTTTAAACGATGAGTAGAAATTCCATACAGTATCTGATTGTTGCCTCCATTCCATACAACATCGTCAAACTTTTATCTGTAGCATGTAGTGCCTTCGCACACACACTGAAGCGAATTAATTAAATCAGTAATCTCATAACGACCAACAGCTACTCAAACCGGTGTTGTGCATAAGAATCTCGTAGATTATAACTTTTTCTTCATTCATTTTATTGTTTTTTTTTCTTTAATTTTTAAAACGCAAAACTAAGAATTGGGTCACTGTGCCTTTATTCGCTAATTTCTTGAGGTGTGTTGTCACACCAAAGTGCAGATTAACACGGTGCTTTCTTTATTGCACGTGTTTATGCTAGTGTTTATGAATTTGCTTCGTTTTGACCACCAAAACTCATGTACACAGGTTGATCGGCTGCATGCGAGAGATACAATAACTTGAGAAAAAAATAAAATAAAAGGCGACTGAAAATATTTGTGACACTTTTTTGTTCATGTTTTTACTCTGAATCGCATCTGATAATTTGTTAATTTTGAATGGAGATTTGTGCAAAAAAGATTCGTAGTTTCAATTAATTAATCTTTCGTCAAAAAAATCATAATACACGTTTTTCACTCGGTCTCTCTTTCACTCGGTGTTGTTTGGTCGCCGGTTTGTATTAGTTGGAAATGTATTCTGTTTTAATCAGTCAAAATTGCAGAAAAAAACCCATCGAAAACAGGCAAACTCGATTTGCAGAGAAAGCTCATTATTCATTCGTTTAAACGCTACATTTTACGCATATATAAGAGATGTCTTTTGATACTTTCCATTGACCAGACTCAATCAATCTATTAGGTTTGTTTTCATATTCTGTGCACAACAATCTTTAAAACAAATTTTTACCAATATATTTGTGTGTTGGATAACAATTGTACATTGAGCATATTCAGCACGTCTTTTTTTTGTTCCTAAATTTCTTTTTCGATGCAAAATGTTATAAATTATCCATGAAAAATAAAAAAGCGATGTAGACAACAAACGGAAAGAAAATCACGCAAAACAAACGACGTAAATGAACGTAAACGGAGTACATTGTGAACAAAACCGCGAGCAAAATTTCTTCACTTTACAATTTAATATGTTTTTAATGTAGTGTAAAATGCGGGATGGTTTGAGTACAGGCAAAGCCGTCACTTGGCAATTAATTCATTGGCACTGGTCACAGCAAACACAAAACGACGCCAACATTAAAAATAAATAGATTCGCTTTTTGTTGTCATTCTGTGTATGCGATCAAACCTCTGGGCCAATCAACTCAAAACGCAAAACTCCGAACAAACATGCTCAACATGTGAAAATGATACAACTCAAAATCGAACCATCTTTTTTTTTCGCGTTCGATGGTAGCAAAAAGAAACCATTACATACTCAATAATTTCGATGCTCACGATCTCAAAATCATTTGAACATAACAATTTCACCATTACATTTGCTTTAGATTGTTATTGTTTCGAATTCAACGATAATTTGAGGTCAAAGACTTAGAATTGTCTTGGACCGAACGAAACATGTTTTTTTTCTCTGTAATTTGAAATGAAACTTTGCGACGGAAAGTATTCGTGACGAGGAAATGTGTGATGTGACATCGCGCTTTTTAATGAACAACCCTGAAAATCGACTTTCAATTTTATTGGTTCCGCATTGTTAAATAGCCAAGCATCAAATTTCTCTGTGTCATTTCACAGTTCCGTCGAAAAAGAAGAGGACTGGTTTGTTCGGTTTTTTTCTTTCTTTTCATAAGAAAAATTTCCCCATTTAACTGCATCAATTAACATTTGTGACGCCGTGTAAAACATTTATATACTAGTTGTATATGGGCAGTTTGGATAGCAAGTTTCTGATACTCAACGAATACTACTCATCGAACTATTCAGATATTTGATGTGTAGTTGATTGAATCAACTTGATTTAAAGAAGAAGACGAGAAAAGAACGTGACATCATTGAAACCTCTTTCGACTGCAACAACAACGGTCAAAAGCCTCTAATTTTTTTTAAATGGGTCGATGACAATAAATACATAAACTATTCAATGAAAAGGCAAATATAATTGTAGAAAATCACACAAGAAATATTTAACACAAGAATTGTATATACCAATTGAATGCGAAAAAGGAAAGGTAAATAAATGGCGTTCTTCATTCTTCGCCTCAGGTTTTGTGCATGCCAAAGACAGCGTAACATATGCGCGCTTGTCAGTTGTCGCACATAGACACACATGCATGCACTCTCTCAATCAAAGTACATTTCCGCGCATAAACCACAACTTTACTGCTAGGCAATTCAAACTGTTTTGTATTTTATTTACACTCATGAAGCGACTTGACGATGAGCTTCAAAGATATTTCATTTATTTTGATTTTTTCTTGATTTTTCTCTGTGGATGAGAACTAGCTGTACAATGTACATAGTATTTCATTGAATTGGTAGGATGGTAGAAATTTATAAAATTGACCGAATGACACATTTAATCAATTTCTTTTTGTACAATTTCTCTTGACAGGGTTCTGATCGTAAAAATGCCACCATCAATCCGAACTACAGTGTGCGTGGAAAATTACAAAATCGTCGATGTAAATTGAATAAAGAGATCAACAAAGAATTACGTCTTCGCGCCGGTGCTGAAAATTTATACAAAGTAAGTTTATTTAGAGGTCATCAGATTGTAAAGCATACCATTGTAACTTTTAGTTTTAAAATGTGTGATAAATAAACAATGTCTATCCAATTTTGTTGCGCGATCTTCAATATACTCGCACGATGATTAATCTCTTCATCAATGCCAGTATTGACAACATTTGCCCTATACCGAGCACCTGCACCTATAGAATGAGCCAAATAAAGTTTGTTTAGTAGAAAAAAAAAAACAAATAATACATGACAAAAACTTGTTAATAATGCCTTTGAACAAAGTTATTTGTTTTTATCATATAAACAGTTAAAGCATGCTTTCTGCAGAAGAATTTACATAATAGAATAAGAAAACTGGTTGATGAAGAAATTGTATTACGTTGTAAAGGCGATTTGGTGATTTTAGATCATAATCGTCATATAGAAAAAAAAGAGAACGACATCGGTTTTTTTTGTGCTGGCTCATGGAAACCGAGTTTTTATTATTACGCAAAACCATTCAAAACAATGAAAAGAAATACAAATCAAGAACAACTCAATCCGTTAAGCTATAACGCAATAATATATAGTTGTTTATGAAAACCAATATTAACGCAAATTCTATTGGCAATTGATTTAAAATTATTCGCGGTTCAGATCAGACTGGATCGTGGTTCATTTGAACAAAGCGCCCATGATGGCGTGAATGAAAATAGAAAGCCACACATTCAAGTGAACAAAAGAACGGAACGAGAATCATCATGAGTTAATGTCGCTATTCAATTCATCATAAAAGTTAGATTTGTCCATATTTTGAGATATATATAGCTTGACAGGCTTTTTTTTATAGACTAATAAAAGAAAATGAAATAAAACCAAGTGACACAGATATCGATAGAACCGTATCATGTGTTACAAATTTGTAATGCCATTTTTAATTCTCTTCCATCCCTGTCTGTTCCCCTTTATTAGTCTTGAGTTGTCAATAGTGTGGTTGTTGTTGTTATTATGATTAGAAATATGCCATTCGTACCATATATCCTATTTTCAACATTTTTTTCATGCGATTGCAAGATAGAATTACCGCAAAAGCCACATTCTTTGCCATTTAAGACGGTTTTGTGGACGACGGTTTTTTCGCAGTCGCGAGGCACATATATATGCTCGCGTTTTCTGTACAATAAATGAACCACATTAAATTGTCGTCAGTTTGATTTTATTGCGAAAACTGGACAACGCAATCGCACCAGAACACCCAGAACATGAAAGAAAACAGAATGGTTAACATGATGAGTGCAACTTTATTTGGTTTTTCCATGTGCAATAGCCACTGAATCGCGCCACTACTGTCCAATGCGATCCAAGGTGTTTGCTGTTTAGTACCTGTACTCGTATAGAGGATTAATTACCTTTGAATCTTAACGCTGCACTTGCACAGAAATGGCTGTCATGCAATGTATGAAATTAAATTTCACATTTAATATGCAACGCTAATACTGATGGGCAAGACAACATTAACGACAACGGCAACGAACAAAAAAATGGTGCGTGCGTGTATGTGTGAGACATCGTGCATGCAATGGGCAATAGAATCTCTTTTTTCCGCAATAATTATTATATGAGTATATTACTTTCCATTTTGCTTTTGCCATCGTCATTACATTTTGAAATCAGTTCAGTGAGATCACATCTAGTTCGAAGCAGTCAATGTATAAGTGTAAATTGTAAATACACACACACACACAGTCACAACGACTAATCGAGTGACATTCGACGCGCTTCACATTTAATTATGGCGAAATCATTTGCTCCATTCATTTTGTATCGTTTCGTCAAACATACAGCGCACAGTGATATAATTAGCCATCTAATTCATCCGGAAATCAATTCTATGTACTCATTATAAAACTGGATCCATTAAAGTGCATGCCAAATCAAAGACGATCTATTAAGTTTGCCTGTAAAGCAAACGGTTTTAAGAAAAGTCGTTCGTTGACCAAGTATTTTGCACGCGCGGAGAGATCGTTCATCAATTTATCATTGTCATTCAAATCGCATTTACTTGGGATTTTAAATTGAATTTACCATTTTGGACATTTTTTGTTTTAAATTCAACTTTTCAGGCAACCGAAAATCAGAAGGTGAAAAATCGAATATCACTCGAACTGAGCTTTGTCAACTCAAATTTACAGTTGCTTAAGGAGAAACTGTCGGAATTGAATTCATCTGTAGAAATTTATCAAAATGATAGCCACGAAGTTATTATGCCATTTATACCAATAGGATTAAAAGAAACTGTCGACATTAATTTCATGGATACCTTTTCGGAACGGGTAAGTATCGATTGGTATTGAAATATTAAAAAAAATACAAACGAGTTTTTTGTACGACAAATTTACGCAATTAGATAAGAGACCATTATAATGAAGAGCCAAATGTGTATGCGGACGCAATAAGGGACATCACTGAGACTCGTGAATCGGCACGCACACCATCCAGAGATGCTAATGGAATCAATTTGATATTTCGATACTACAATCTTCTGTATTATGTTGAACGTCGATTTTTTCCATATGGTAGGTTCATTTCAATGGCAAGAAGATAAATCACAATGTATTTGCTAGTTTGTAGTATACTTAGTTCATTATGGTAAGCAATGAAGCGGTTACAAGTAACTTCTGTTAGGAAGATAAATGTATTACTAAAAAAAGAGTTTTGCGCTTGATGGCGAATTCCATTGAATATTTTAGCATAAATTTGCGATAAACTAGAGATATTCTTCTGAATTTGAAAGAGATATTTTAAGATCAATCAAATGATCAACTTTTACTTTCGGTCAATTTCGCGAAATCAATATGCAATAAATTAGGTATTTCCAATTTAATCTGCAAAAAATATGATCGACGATAATGTTTTAATGTTTGATGAATGTTAAATTTCGAACTTTACCGTGTTGAAATCAAATCAAATGTAGAAATCTGCATAGAGTATTTTTCACAATCAATTCGTCTTATTTTTCAGATCGAAATGGTGTCTATTTCGAATGGTACGACTCGTTAACAGGTGAGCACAATCTAATGCTATATTTATATTAGACAATTTGATTTTATGAATATTTATCGGTGGTAAATGTTTTTGCGTTATCGAATATCGTGTTAAACTTTCATTTCATTCATCATCTACGATAGTCATCGTCGTCGTCATTGTCGACATCATCCTTCTTGTAAATCGTAAAATGCTAAAATACTGGTTTCCATGTAAATTTTCCCTTTTTTTGCTCTCTCTCCCCATTCGCACCGTTTTTATTTTATTTTAAAATATAATTTCTTTAGGTGTAGATAGTAATGTTTTTAATATAAATTTGTTTTTCGTTGTTTTATTTTATTTTTGTTTTTGTTTTTCATTTTCTTTCATTTCATTCTGATACATACATGCGTTTACAATACAATTCGTAGGTATTCCGTCAAGTCAACGAACAGTTGCATTCGAGAAAGCATGCATTCTGTTTAACTTGGCCGGTGTGTACACGCAAATAGCAACCAAACAAGATCGCAGCACGGAAAAAGGTCTTGACATTGCCGTGGATAATTTTCTACGTGCGGCTGGTATATTCAAACATATTTGCGAAACATTTACAAATGCACCGTCCATCGACTTGAAGCCACAATTTTTGGAAATACTCGTTGCTCTAATGTTGGCACAGGCCCGTGAATGCCTCTACGAAAAGTTACTCTTGCAAATTGAATCGTTTTCAATATCAAACAAAAATCATGTAAGTGAAAGTAGATAGGTAGATGAAGTGTATAACACACAAAGAAAAAAACAATGAACAGCAATAGCGAATGCGAACGTACGAGTACGCGAAGAACAGCGGCAAGATGAAGTTTTGTTTTGTTATACGAACGCGAGTAACAAGCGAAAGGAAAGTCAATGATTGTTGTGCACAACGAAAAGAGACGGAAGAAATAACGCAACCTCATTCAATGAATTTTTAATTATTTTTATGATATTGTTAATCTTTCATAGTAACTATAACGATATTGCAATTGTTATTACCGCTGAGTGTGTTGTCGTAAGCCAAACTCTTTGAATGTTTACATAGAAAATGATCTTGATATTGTTTTGTTAAATTTGCGTTTGTTTTTGAAGGGGGGTTCTTTCCTTTTCAGGTGCGCGCACGCACGCACGCATATACAAGACACAAGTTTAATGAATTCTCAATTTTCTGCTATGCGATTCACAAACAAAAACCAGTCTTATTAATATTTAGCGTGTGAACATTTTGATAGTTCGTTCAACGGTTCACCTGAACAAATGAACACGAACAACAACAACAAAAATAGAAACAAAATCAGATTACGCATAAGCACAATCGTTATACGAACGAACCGATTATCATTTGCCAATTTTCACGTGTGCATCAACATGTGCAATTATAATGATCCGATAAACATATCTACTCGAATAATTGCAATTTTCAGTTAATTGTACTTTTCTCACCATCAGTGATTTATTCATTACTTCGTTTTAAAATTTAGATTCATCGTGATCTGTCGGGTGAGGCTGCACAACTAATGCTAGAATATAATAAAATTAACATGAGCATCGACACAGATGCTCACACCTACATTCCAGAATGTTGGGCTGCATTTGTGCCACTCAAAGCAGAATATTACAAAGGTTGGTATGAATTATTTTAGGTATACACATTCGGTGACTCTCCTCGATGGGCTTAAACTTTGATCGCAATGGAAATATGAAATATTACTTTGCTCAGACATTTGATGGGATTTATTTGATAACCTTGAACAAACCTTTGCGAGAAAGAAAATAAGTAGCAAGATTAATTATTGTCATGCAAAATATTACCACAACAAGTTTATTGTTACTTAAATCTGCGTAGTTAAAATTTAATGGAAGCAACAACTTTGGTTTATTAACACATTACTTGCAATAAATGTTGAGTAATGGATTATCCCTCGACATGAGTCGAAACCATTGTGAAATGTCAACATTGTAGCATTCAAATTGATGATGGTCTAAATGATATAATTTTGTTAATTCAATTTTACAGCATTGGCACACTACCATGCAGCAATAAGTATCGACATTAATAATACCAAAACACAAGAGAACAGCAAACGAGATGAATTCCGTCTGAGTAACAACAATTCATTCGCTTTGAGTGACCTAACCAACGATACAGATGTCAACCCATGTGCACTGAAAAAGGGACATATCAAGGAATCAATCACATGTTATGAAGAAGCATTGCGACTGCAGAGAATGAGCCGAGACTTGAAAGTAAGTAAAATTCATTAAAAATTGAAAAAAAATGTAAAATTTTCGAAATTTATTTCACAGAATAAAGTGTCATTAACAAAAATGCTTAAAGAAAGCAGCCTAAAGGCAATGATTGAATCGGAGTGCATCGACGAAGAATTGAAAAATAACGACTTCAATGAAGATGACACATTTGATATGATTGACTTGTCCGTCACCGTTACACCGTCATCCAAATTCATACTATCACTAACCGACCCGGATTTCACGGCCTACAAGGTACATGCCTGCGCGTATAAAATTGACTATCTTTATTTTCCAAATATTTTATGGATATCTTTACTTTGAAATAAAAAACAAATAGATTGACGATCCATTCAAGAAGCTTGGACCGCTTGCAATTTTCTCTGCTAAACGACATTGGACTGTGCCACGAAGTGTTTGCCTGAAAAAGGCATCAAACTTATCAAACATTGATTCCGACAATGTTGTGAATAGTTTGATTCGACCGTCAGACTACAGTAGCGAAAGTTGCAGCAGTAGTTCGAGTATAGTCAGCGAGTGTAGTCACGGCAGTGATGGACTTACTTTGAGAAATTTAAACAGACGTAATATGGAATTTGCTGATGACTACGGATTTAAATTGCGTGGAGATTCTCCCGTTATAATTTCAGTCGTCGTAGCAAATTCACTGGCTGATGTAAGTAAAAAATTGAACTAATATGATTATATTGGTCTTGAACTTTGAATGACTTTTTTTCTAACTTTAGCTGGGTGGACTGAAAGAAGGTGATTTCATTGTGGAATTATCTGGTGTTGATGTGAAATGGTATACACAGCATCAGTTAGTTAAGCTGATTCAGAATTCAAAACAAAGTCTTGAGCTCAAGGTCATTACGCCAATCGATCGAAATTATTTGAAGGTAAGCAATTTACATCTGGTTGTGAAAAATATTTTGATAATAATTGACTCGTTATTTTTGCTTAATCAGCCTTTGCCAACACCATCGACGCCTAGTACAACTACATCAAAGTCATCGATATCGACCAGCCGATCGACTGGTTCTGCTGAACATCGCACCAAGAAAAAAGTCTCAAGCGATAAACAAATCAGCAGCTGGAAATTATTTCGCCGCTCACAAAGTCTAGGAAAACTCTTTTGAAGCCTGGAAAGAAACTATTTCATTTTCATTTTATAAACACAAATAGTTTAGTTTTTTTGTCTTAACGGCATAAGATAACTCTCATAATACAAAGAGTGTAATGTAAACATAAGGAAGCTAATGATAGATTAATCCAAATAAATATATATTGAAAGAATTTGTAAATCAAATTTTGTTTACACATACATACATTCGGCGAGAAAAAAACACACAGAATAAAGATACAATTTTGTATGTACAAATTTTAATAAAAAAATTTATTATCCATCCATTAACTGACGTTATTCATATAAATATAGCTTTGTTTTTATAAAAGGACCATTTCCAAATTCATCGATTTTTTTTTCTCGATCAATTTAAATGAATTCAGTTCAAGAGAAAGTCGATCGTATTCTATGGAAAACATCGTTTGGCGACAATTTTTGTTTATTTGTATCATTTTTTGTGGTTGTAGCATTTTGATTTGATTTAGTTTGATTTAATTTTCAAAAAGCAAAACAATTCATCTCTTTTTCTCATTTTGTCAGCCATATGCGTTCGACCCAAAAAAACGGTCCAGAAATATTGGTTTAAAAAATTATTGTTCACACAACGAAATAAAATTAAAATCAAAGCTGAAACTGAAGTGAAACACATGAACTATGATACAATCATGTCGTTAATGGAACTACCACCGGATCCACCGGATGTCGAATTGGATGAATTTATATTGGCCTGTTTCAATGTTTCATTCACGTCACGGCGGAAGAGCGATAGATTTTGGCTAAACCTGAAAGAATTAATATCGGTTAGTAGAGATTGAGTTTGATGTGTTGTTATTCATTTTTTCCACATACTTATCACGATTTTTCATTGATAAATTTCGCTCAACATTTTCCATCAAATTATCAAACCAGTGGGCTATCGTTTGTTGTTTGTCGAGTGGCTGAGACCGAATGATGTTCTCTTTCATTGATCTAATTTTTAAAAATGCAATCATCATTAACCCAAAGAAAATAGAAAAAGGAGAAGTTTTGAACCAACCTAAAATAGTCTTCATACAACAGAATCAATCCGAGTAATGGACGTGACAGTGACCATTGATTCTTGCAATCTTCAAACATGACAATGTTAATGATTGTTGATAAAATTCCTTGCAATATCTCTGGATGCATTTCGATCACTTTCAAGAACATATCACTGTCCGGATTAACGACATTGCGGCGCATCTTTTTGGTTGGGAATGCTGTAAATGATGACAAAAAATATTTTTCATTTTGTAAATTCAATGGATTTCAATTAAAATTTTGAAGTGTTTGTCTTACCTTTGATCGATAATTGCTTAAATATATGTGAAACGATATTGTCCAAAATCGAACAACATCCTGTGCAAATGGTCGTATCTGCGCGAATAAAACATGAAAATATTTTTTAAAAACAAAATTCAATGGAAACTAGAAAAGCACAGATGTGAGTCAAAACAAAAGAGTCAGAGATAAATAATGGACAAAAGAGTCAGAAGAAATGAAACACAAGCATTAAACGAAAAGGATAATAAGGAAGAGCGCTATTCGATAAATCACCTGTAGCATCGGAAGAAGTTAAATTCGTCATACCTTCAGCAGCCAAACCCTCTGATATACTTTTAATTATGTATAAGAATATTGCTGGATCGAGTGTAGATAGAAATGCCATGTGATCTTGAGCCAAACATTCCAGAAGCAAGAAATATGATTGTGACAATTTAGGATACACCTGTGAAATGCGACCAATTAAACAATTACATTATTATAATTGCATGTGTTTATCTCTTGAAATCTTGATTCTCACCAATAAATCCGTTTGTGGGATTGTAAGTATAAGCTTGGTCGTCACGTCTAATACATTGTCCAACGTTTCATCGCCGTACAATTTGCAAACACCAAAATTGACATAATTTCCTGATAACGCCGCTTTGAGCATTGTAAAACAAATCGAAATACCCTTCAAACGCAGTGCGTACAGTTGATTTTTTGGTACATCATAGTTCATGATTCGATTACCTAACAACAACAAAACCAACAGCAATAAAAAAAACGATATGCAAGATTATTTCATATGTACACACTTACCATATGTGCAGATGACCTTTGATGCTTCACGGAACAGCAGGATGCCATTTGGACTAGAAATATCAAATTGTAAGCGCTGCGAACGATTTTGTACCAATTCGGCAAACAACTTTAAAATTGGTGTCGTAACTTGTGGATCGGTTGGCCACAGTTCAATTGCTCGAATTAAAATCGGCGTATAATCGGGATAACTGTTGAAAATTCAAGAATAAATTCATAAGTGAAATTTGAACTTCAATAAAATAAAAAGAAACACTTACATCCAATCAAAAAACATCATGTAAGCGTTTTTCTTGCTCGACGAAAAAGTCAGGCCACGCAAATCACGCGATAAACCAATGAGAGCCTTCTTTGCCTCTTCGCTTGGGTAGGTACTCGTATCCATGATGGCACTGCCAATCGACTCAAATTGATCTGAAAATTAAAAATAACCAAATTGTTACTGTTACTGCTGAAGATGTGTTTCATCTACAAAATACTTACTCGTCAATGGTGACATGAAATTGTAGAATCGTTCTTCGTCCTCTCCCAAATCAACCATAAGCAATCTACCGAGTGATGTATAAAACATACTGCGACATCTCATTTCGGCGATGGCCACATTACTACCCAAAAATGAAAAGTGTTCACTCTGCAAAATGTGTCAACAATTGAGTTAATATGAGATGTTCGTTTTAACACCACTTCAATTCCAAATAAAAATACCGTGTGATTGTTGAGCAAAAACTGAATTTCTTCCAATTTAACCAGTTTGCGAACCCAGCTATAGCTGACGGAAAGTTCGTTCAGAAGATTCAGCGTTTTTCGTATGATAACTTCCGAATGTCCCCAGAATTTAAGATTTGTTATACTGCAATTTTGAAAAGTACAATATTGATCAATGGTTCAATTCAAATGTGTGAAGAAGAAAACAAGATGCTTACATTTTACGATTGATAACACTTAACAACATTGGTTCATCATTGATGCCCAGTAGTTCGGATAGACGTTTGTAGATTTTCATCTTCTGCATTTGTTCAATAATATAAATTTTTCGAATATGATCCAAAAATGATATCATTGATAACTCGAGTTTTTCACAGCCACATTGTGGTAAACGTGAGTCGGTCAAACGCATTAATTGTAAGACCTACATTTTGAGCCAAATATTCATATATTTAATATTGATGATAAAAAAAAGAATAAAAAAAACTTCTGTCTCACCCTAACAACTAAATCGCCATCGAGAATATCATGCTCATCATTGGCGGTAAATGTCAATCTTCCACCTATGGCCGCTCCAATAATATAAACTAACCATGTCAATTGTGCTTCACGAACCGCAATTTCGGAATTGTTAACCGGATTGTTGAGCAGCTCTTGGTATTCACTGGCCGTTTGATCAAAGGTGTGTATCACAAAGTTACACGTTTGGTCATATTCACACCGAATGATGACAGACAATTGATCGAGTTGCTGCTGCACCATGGCTAAATCATCAAGTGGATCTTCAAGTCCATCACGAATAATGACACGTGCCGAGTCTAAGCGTGACGTAATGTATGCTTTTGTCACTTCAGGAGTATATGCATCCAAATGATGTGGCTCGACGGCACGTACATAAGGAATTGATGCGACCATTCTTTGCCAAAGAGACAAAAGATAATGGATGCTATTTGGTGCAAATTGCCACATCTAAAGAAATTCAAATTAGTTTAAGTTTTTTTTTTTCAGTCACGAAATGCAATGCCTCTCACCTGCAACGATTGAATGGTAAATTTTGCAATAAGTTGAATAACTTCAGGGTAACATTCAACAACAACAAGTTCACTTAGTTGGTAATTGGTTTTGAGACGGGCTAACAAACGACAAAATTCATGGTAATTATCTGGATCACTAAGTCCTTGAGAATTTTCGAGAATGTTCTTAATATTAACGACCAAATTACTGAGAAACTTCGCTCTCTCCGTGTTGCTGAACAAGGATCGTCGTACAGATGTTATCTGGAGAAGAATTAGAAATTTAATTTAGTTTTACAGCCAACCAAACCAACTGGGTGATGTTGTTACTTACTTGTACCAGTGTGGACAGTGCCAAACTGGATAGACGCGATGGCAACAAGTGATACAAATCAAAGAATAAATTCAAATAATTCAAGTCAAGAAATGCTGGTCTCCAATTGGTCGGAATCTGTATTGTTGAAGAGTCATCGGTTGTTTCATCGTTCGATGTACCGATAAAATCGTAGCTTAAGCAATTTTTCGTCAAACGAAGTATTTGGTTGATGAGACTGAAAATGAAAAACCATACAAGAACGCATTAACTATCAGTATATTTCAATGTAATCTTTTTAATTACCCATGCTGTTTTTCGTCCATAAAATTCAATGTCTTACAGTTATCGCGAGCAGTCATTAAAAGCGTGCAAGACAAAATATAAATGTCATACAATTGTGTGTCTCGAAATGAATAAACGGTTTTTCTATGTTTAATATATGAAATGTTGACATCGACCTCAGGATGATTCATCTCACAAGTCAATTGTGACAAAATCTGAACACCAATCATGCAGTGCTCAACTGAACCCTATGCGAAACACAAAACAGACAGCAAAGCGTTTATTTATTGTTGATGGTATGGTTCATTAAAAATTGAAAACATTTTACCTGAAGAAATTTTCGCACATCTTCGATAATATTTCGAAAGACCATCTCGTCTTTATGGCAATAAAACCAGCCGTACTTTGTTATTTTGGCCAATACAGTGACTAAGGCTTGAATGACAAAACTCTCTAGATTCGGTCGTGTTGCTAAATAATTAAGAATGTAATTCCGAATGTCGACGATCTCTTGCAGTGACAATCCCTGTGCATTTTTTGCAATCAATTTTGTGAGCGTTGTTGCCGCCAGCAATTGTGAATAGCTTGATTGTCCGCGATCCAATAGTAATTGACATTTTGGCAATGCATCTAGACTATTTTGGAATGCAACTAACACCTTTTCGGCTTCGTTTCGCGTTGAATTTTCACCCTCGTACATTTGCTTGCACATCAATTCCAACTGAATCACCTCCTGCTGTTGTGTGTATAGAAGCGTGGAAACAAAACAAACATTCAAAAACAATAAAAAAACGTTAAACAATCAAACTGATTTAAATTTTCGTGTCATTGAACGGAGTGTGGATTTAAAATGAATGGACTGATTGATTGACTACATGCACATCTGACACATTCTGTCACGTTTACAGACTGATATCGTGTGTATTACAAGAAGAGCACATTTTTTTTAAATTTTAAAATGAAACTAATGTCATAGTATAAATGGAGTGTAAACGATACTTGAGGAAGAAAATTTGACAATAAATAAGATTGATTGCAATTTATGTGTATTAAATAGAAAAATATTCAATTTTCTTTTTGTATTATTAACATTTAGAGTAATTTAACATATATCAGTACTAATGCGTAGAAATGCAATGGAAATGGCTGTACTTTTTTTTTTAAATAAATTTACTTGCAAATTTGATGGCATTTTTAAATCGGTTAAACGTTCGCATTAACGTTAATTTGAAAACTTAAAATACAGAATGAAAATACAAACCATTGTGTTGTCCATGATGATATATTGACTACTTCGGCGGCACTACACAATTATCACTACAATACGATAGAAAAAACGTCCGCGAAATGCTCTGTTTCTCAATTTTTTTGGGTGCCCCAGCTATATATTTGTAAAAATCTATTTTTCTTCACAATTTTCCATACGAATATCGTCTGTTGTGTGTTTTATAATATTTCTGTTTCTGTAGAAAACACACCGCGTCAATTCTGATGGTTAGTGATTTTTCGCTCATTAGTCGGCGTTCATGTGTTTGTGTGCACCAAAATATCGGTGTTGTTGGTGTTTTTGCCGATTTTTTTTTCGTACCATGCATTAGACATTCAGTTTTAGTTCATATGTATTAGTAAAAGTCACTCACAACGCAACTAACGATGGAACAAACACAAAGAAGCACTAAACGCAGCCATTTTCTTTGTTGACAGTTCACATGAGCGACGCGCTTTTTTTCTATTCATTCATTTCTGCTTTTCACTAGATGGCGCACCATTTACTTTATCGAGCTTCTTTATTTAAATGAATTTTGATTACGATTTCATTTTTAACGGTGATTTTCAAAATATTTTTTTTTTTCATAACAGCGTATATTTCGATTTTAATTATTAATTTGAATTTCGGTTCATTTTTTACCAATTATATTAATAATTCAAATAAAGCAAAGAGATAAAAAAAATAAATCCGCTTTTCATCACCAAATTCTAGTCAAAATTCATGTCAACACAATGAAATATCCGTATAATTCAAAGTCCGTAGCACACCAAAACCAGAATATAGAATTTAATTTGAATAAATCCGCATTTGCGACCATTTGACGTGTTGTTCATTTGCAAATCAAAATGGATAAAATATTCAAAAATAACTCACGGTGAGTGCTTCACGCATATTTTCCAATATGATAATTATTATTATTTGCATAACGTTGCACTAATTGCCGTTCAATTGACCAAAATTCCATAAAATGATCACCAATAACATTCAACAATGCTCTCCAAATCATGACACATGTGTGTATGTGTCTTTGCATCGATGCATAACAGGGATTTTTGGTGTATAGGTAAACTCTGTCCACTTTTGCAATTTGTGAATAAATATTGCAATGGATTTTGTGTTGCGTACTATGAATGCGGTATTGCTCCCACAAATCAATCCAGCTTAAAATTTGTGCATTTTACATAATGGCGCTTTGATGTTATCGCATCGTGCACGTGTTTACAAATGTGCATTAGTCACTTATGTCGATTGCATGATTTATCCGCTCTCAACGGTGCAAGATACTACCTATCGTGGTTTTGTAAAGAGCATTCAACAGCATGAATGCCGTTCTTGTGATTCAAAATATTGTGGATGGCATCATGTGACCAAATGAAACAACAACACAAATAAAACCTGATACAAACTGAGTTCATGTAATGACGACATTGTTGACCCTGGTTATTTGTATGAAGTTGAATAATAATTTTCGTTTCATCGTTTCGGTTTTGGAAATCTCATTCTGTTACATTGCCACACAAAAGAGAGACAAGTTCAAATGCAATGTTTTTAAAAAAAAATCTCTACCGTTCAGATGTTATAGTGAGTGTTGTCTGACGCGCTGAAAATGTAATCCTGTCTTTCTTCATTGCATTGCAATAATATTCGTACTCTATTCAACACAGAGTTTTGCTAGAAAAAAGACACGCACACTATGTTGCGTGGTACTTTTCAAATTAACTCTTTGAACTGGTTTAATGAATCGGCCCGCATATTATAAAGGATGCCCAATCGACAATAACTGTAGCTATAGTCATATGCATACATGTTCGCCTCCACCCGAAATTCGGATGCACATTAGTCGGTCAAATAGTCGGTTTCCATATTGCATTGTACAACATTTTACAATCACACGCAAAGAAAAGCATATATTCAATGCACATTGTGCAGTCACACTCGCCCCAAATAGGAATGGACAATGGACATAAACATACGCTCATGCTGTGGAATTGAATGAGATAAATTGCTTTGAATCTTGTGTATTGCTTATAAGCCGTGGTCATAACATTTAATTCACAACAAACCCAAAATGATTTTCGAATTTTCATATTTGGCTCATTCACTTCGAGCAATTCACACTTTCCATTTTCTTATATATCTATTCTCTCGTGAGACACTAAAACGACTCACACAAGGATATCCATGTCTATTTGCTCACATAAATTAGAATCTGAAGAGTTTCACCAAAAACATTTACAGGGGAAAATAACAAATAAATTGACTGCATGGCATACTTGAAATGCTTACAGTGTTCGGCAGGAGTTTCATTCACTCGAAATATTTATAACATGATTTTCATACCGTTGCACACGAAAAGAAAGGGAGTACACAAAGATATTCCGGAAACAGATACAATCGTAATATTTTCCATGTCCAGTTTTAGGATAAGCATATGGGATAACCAATTGAAGAAAACAGAAGTAAAAAAAAAAAAATTACCGTCATACCAATTTCTCTGACAAAACAATGCGAACAGCAAACTCGATGCAGCACAAGACCATAAAACAGTATCAATTTCAATAGTTTGCACATAAAGGTAATGAAAACTGACACATGATGAACATTTGCAAAAGAGCACGTGCAACTTCTGGTCCGGTCGATGTGTCAGTTTGAATTCGAATCCAATCCATTTTCCACAGATCACAGCAAAAATTATGTATGGATTTTGTAAAATTGATGCGGCAAATCAACTATCGAAAGAAGAAAAAAGAATATATACTATGGAAAAAAACAAAACGACCAAATAACATTTTTTTTGACCTGGTCACAATTATGCCAGTCGTACGAAACCAAATCGAATGCTGTTTTACTACGTTCCAAAGCATTTATGGCATGCATTTATTATTCAAAGGGAGCTTCATTCGTTGTTTCAGTCAGGATAGATTGTTCAAAGTGTTCAATGTACAAAATTCACTTTTTCAATCGTTTCAGGCACGACCATGTTGAATCGCATTGGCATCAGTTAAAAGTCAAACCAAAGAGAATTGAGAATGGGAAATTTTTTCCATTTCAGACACAAATAGTGGAAGAATTTTATCCAACAAATTCAAATCGGAATCGTTTGCTGGTGAAAACGGAGAATTTTTAATTTCACAAAAATGAACCGGAAATAAAAACTTTGAAAGATACATACAGACGAAATAATAGATACATCGACATGGATAAAATGCATTCAAATGATTTTCTGTGAATGCTTCTACTTTTTTCTTTGTTCAACTTTTGACTTGCAGTGCAACCGATCAGGCCGAGGCCTCAAGTTCGTTGAGTGAATAGATAAAAAGACAGACAACAAAGCATAGAAAAGCAAATATATTTTATATTAACGAAGCTGTGCTACTGTGCAACAGAGAATGAAGCAAAAGAAATTCTCCATAACTTTTAGTGGGAAAAAAATTGAAATCGCCTAATCATGCACACAACATTCTTGAATTCACCTCTTCACCTCTCTCTTTTTTTTAAATAGACGGTGTGAAGAATATGCTCATTCAATCATGTTGCAGGATAATAATGAGAACTATGATAAAAACCCTTTTGAATTTAAAATGTGCAAACTATGTACTTGTCTAGTTTTGATACAGATTGAAATCAAGCAGTTTTATTTGCTGCTACTGACCAAAATACGGAAATAATAATAATAAATGTATTATGATTCACTCTTTTGTGCGGAGGTTCGTTAGTAAAAATTTACGTCTACTCTAACATTGCCCGCCATTGAATTTTTTCCGAACCGAAATCAAATTTTATTGTTTTATCTGGGATATGGTCTGTCGGCAAAGTTGGGGCAGCTGAGCATAAATCTAATCTATCAAATCTACGTTTGCGGTCATGATTTGCTCTGTTTCGTGTGTCGATAAAAAGAGTAGCAGAGCACAACAAAGACCCACCAATCCAGATGGCTTAAAAGCACTTTTCGGATTATGTTAGGATTGATGAATACAAACGCCTTTGAGCGATGGAATGTGAATGGAGCACATATTGTTATTACCTAGTTATAAAGATTACCACTATTTGATAAACGTCCAAACAAAGAGATGCCATGATAGCCAATTTTGAACAAAGAACCGTTTTTTGTTCGGTATTTTCTTTTGCCTAGGAAATCTCAAAGCAAAAACCTATTGATTTGATCTTGAAAGGTGAATTTCAGCATCCGTTCAACCGATTGGCTGTGTATTGTTTTCATATCGGAAATAACAACGGAATCGTTGGTTTTTAGTACAATGAAATGTCTGTTGATAACCATGACCAATTTTATGAACACGAAAAATTTCAATCGAAACCTTCGCAAACCGAAATATATTCGAAACAAAGGCAATAATTCAGATAATTCCAGACTTGTCGTTTAAAATGTAAATGTAAATAAAGTGAACGAGCGACAACACGATGCAACAGTGATAATTGGATATATTTTGTGAGCTGCTTTTTTTTTGGTAAAAATGAACATGAGAGATAAAAATAATAATAATTCTGTCCAATCGTTTGTTTTATAACCGTCGAGACTCATCGCGATTAAATGAGGTGATAATGAATTTTTAAGCTTCGATTGAAACACATGTTAAATAATAATCCCATTTATGATAAACGATACCGAGATGGGCTTTAATTTTATGGATAGCAGGGAATATTATCGAATGTGAATGTTCAGCACATAATGTTCTGAGTATATTTCAGTTGTTATTTTTACCAAAAAAAAAATGGTTTGCCTAAAACATAATTTTGCTTTACATGCATATGTGTATAAATTAATATTTATTTTAGCAATGGCAATAATTATTCTTATTAAATCTCGTGTATATTTTAAAACAATTTCAAGAAATCGAAATGATCAAACAGTATCAAATTCCAAGGTGCGTAATTCCGTAAATCAATTAAAGCAACTGCGATTAAAGTCAATAGATTTCGAAAAGTGGAATAAATGTTATGGTTTGTTTTACATTTCGTATTGCGTCAGAAGTTTGAATCCAAATTACCGATGATACTTTACCACATGAACCTAAATCCATTCACACTATTCATTATTCCGTATTTCTGGTGTAAATTATCAGTTTAGATTAGTTGATGTTTAAAGGGTGCGAAAGAAAAATGTTCCAAAGTGTTTGCATGTTGTGTGTGTTCGTGCAGCGATACTTTTTGAACTCGATGTTCAAGTACTTCATTGGCTTTAGCGTTGGCGCTGTGCCCCACACAGCTACCGGAAATTGGGTGAAATTTTGAATGAACTTAAGATTTATGATATGATAAAATTAATAAACTTTTAA